TGTTGAACTTCCTTCTTGGAATTCCACAACCTCCAAACCTAAACAGGACATTATATTAATATATATATATATATATATATTAGGAAAATGAGTAAGACTTCTTTTTTGGGAGATTCCACAACCTCCAAAATGCATACACTATTTATGTATGTATGGGTTCACATCATGGTGTAAATCATTTTAGGAGCTGGTCTCTCAACCGTAAATCTTCCCATATTTGTATACACCTATTTTTATGAGTTGATTTCGAAGTGGATTGACTTTTTAATTTTTTTAATTTTTTTTTTGAAATTAAAAGTTTTATTTAGAATAGATTTTTAAGTTTTATAAAAAAAATAATTATGAGTTAAATATGATATTTTATTATATAATTAAAATAACTTATTTTATCTTATATAATTATTTTAGCCCAAACACCCCACCTAAAACAGGACATATATATATATATATATATATATATATATTAAGAAAAGAGTGTAACTTTCTTTCTTGGAGATTCCACAACCTCCAAACCTAAACAGGAACATATTATATATATATTATTAGGAAAATGAGTAAGACTTCTTTTTTGGGAGATTCCACAACCTCCAAAGTGGATACACTATTTATGTATGTATGAGCTCACATCATGGTGTAAATCATTTTAGGAGTTGGTCTCTTAACCGTAAATCTTTCCATATTTGTATACACTTATTTTTATTGAGTTGATTTCAAAGTGGGATTGATTTTTTAATTTTTTAATTATTTTATTTTGAAATTAAAATTTTTATTTAGAATAGATTTCTAAATGTTTATAAAAAAAAATAGTTATGAGTTAAATATGATATTTTATTATATTTAATTAAAAAACTTATTTTATCTTATATAATTATTTTAGCCCAAACACCACCTAACAGGACATTATATATATCTGTTAAGAAAATGATGTGACTTCCTTTCTTGGAGATTCCAACCTCCAAACCTAACAGGACATATATACATATATATATATTAGGAAAATGAGTAAGACTTCCTTTTTGGGAGATTCCACAACCTCCAAAGTGGATACAGTATTTATATATGTATGCGTTCACATCATGGTGTAAATCATTTTAGGAGTTGGTTCTCTCAACCGTAACTCTTTCCCATATTTGTATACACCTATTTTTATGGGTTGATTTCGAAGTGGATTGACTTTTTAATTTTTTAATTATTTTATTTTGAGAATTAAAATTATTTAGAATAGATTTTTAAATTTTATAAAAAAATAATTTTGAATTAAATATGATATTTTATTATATTTAATTAAAATAATTTATTTTATCTTATATAATATTTTTAGCCCAAACACCTCACCTAAACATGACATATATTATATATATATAGGGTCCAGCTTCTGTCCAGTCCGGGATCGGACTGGACCGTGCTGTTGGGCCCGTGGGGGTCCACCACGGGATCCCGATCCTGTTTTGATAATCTGAACCGTTCAATGTGTAGAACTCGTCGAGTACTATATGCCTGTAAAAAATCACGTTGATCGGATATCAATAGCTATGTGATCAAATCAGTTTTGTATAAAAAAAAATAGACGGTGAAAAAATTAACGGTTGATAAAAAACTGTTTTGTTCACATAGCTATCGATATCCGATCAACGTGATTTTTTACAGGCATATAGTACTCGACGAGTTCTATACATTGAACGGTTCAGATTTTCAAAACGGGACCCGTGGTGGGCCTCCACGGGCCCAACAGCACGGTCCAATCCGATCCCGGACTGGACAGAAGCCATGGCCATATATGTATATTAGGAAAATGTAAGGCTTCCTTTTTGGCAAATTCCACAACCTCCAAAGTGGATACATTATTTATATATGTATGGGCTTACATCATGGTGTAAATCATTTTAGGAGTTGGTCTCTCAACCGTAAATCTTCCCATATTTGTATACACCTATTTTTATGGATTAATTTCGAAGTGGATTGCCCTTTTAATTATTTTATTTTGAAATTAAAAAGTTTTATTTAGAGTAGATTTTTAAATTTTTATAAAAAAAATAATTATGAATTAAATATGATATTTTATAATATTTAATTAAAATAACTTATTTTATCTTATATAATTATTTTAGCCCAAACACCCCTCCCTCCTAAACAATATATATATATATATATATATGTCCTGTTTAGGTTTGGAGGTTGTCGAATCTCTAAAAAAGGAAGTTAGTATATATATATTAGGAAAATGTAAGACTTCCTTTTTGGAAGATTCCACAACCTCCAATGTGGATACACTATGTGCCATTTTGGGAAGAAGCTAAAAAAAAGCTACCTTGCCGAAAACGCCAATTGTTGCATTTGGCAAGTGACAAAAAAGCTGCCTTGTGAAATTACCTAAATACCCTCCATGTTAGCAAATTACCTAAAATTCCAAAATTTGGCAAGGGTATATTGGTCATTCTATTTTGATTTGATGCCATAAATAAATATTAAACCAAAAATAAATATAAAAAAAACTACTAATTTTTTACCAACTTTCCAAATCACCTCCAAAAAAGCCAAAAAACTTGGTAAAAAACCAAAAGTCAACTTTTTACCAACTTTCCAAAACACTCTATGTATGTATGGACTCACATCATGGTGTAAATCATTTTAGGAGTTGGTCTCTCAACCGTAAATCTTCCCATATTTGTATACACCTATTTTTATGGATTAATTTCGAAGTGGATTGCCCTTTTAATTATTTTATTTTGAAATTAAAAAGTTTTATTTAGAGTAGATTTTTAAATTTTTATAAAAAAAATAATTATGAATTAAATATGATATTTTATGATATTTAATTAAAATAACTTATTTTATCTTATATAATTATTTTAGCCCAAACACCCCTCCTAAACAAGACATATATATATATATATTAAGAAAATGAGTGTGACTTCCTTTTTTAGAGATTCGACAACCTCTGTAAGACTTCTTTTTTGGGAGATTCCACAACCTCCAAAGTGGATACACTATGTGCCATTTTGGGAAGAAGCCAAAAAAAAAGCTACCTTGCCGAAAACGCCAATTGTTGCATTTGGCAAGACTTCTTTTTTGGGAGATTCCACAACCTCCAAAGTGGATACACTATGTGCCATTTTGGGAAGAAGCCAAAAAAAAGCTGCCTTGCCGAAAACGCCAATTGTTGCATTTGGCAAGTGACAAAAAAGCTGCCTTGTGAAATTACCTAAATACCCTCCATGTTAGCAAATTACCTAAAATTCCAAAATTTGGTAAGGGTATATTGGTCATTCTATTTTGATTTGATGCCATAAATAAATATTAAACCAAAAATAAATTAAAAAAATCAGTTTTTTACCAACTTCCCAAATCACCTCCAAAAAAGCCAAAAAAACTTGGTAAAAAATCAAAAGTCAATTTTTTACTAACTTTCCAAAACAACCTATGATGTAATTTTGAAACTTGAATTTTTTTAAAATATAATAATTATATTACCAAAAAAAAATTGAATTTTCCAAAACTTTGGTACCATTATTTTGGTACATAGGAAGAGTATATATATTCATCTTTGGGACAGAGGGAGAGTAAATATTTTCATCTCTCTCAAATCTCACTTCTTTTCTCTGTCACCATTGATCGATGGACAAAGCAGCAAAGTGGTTTCGGGGCCTCTTCGGCCTGAAGAAGGACCACTCGCCGTCGCAATCGGCGGCGAAGCCTCCGAAGAGAAGATGGAGCTTCGTCAAATCACATAGTGAAAGGGACCGCACACCTACAAAAAACACCACCACCGATGACGCCGTTGATCCGAGCAAGCACGCCATCACGGCGGCGGAGAAGATAACGAGCAGCGGGAGGTCCAATGCCACTACCGCTACATCCGCGGCTTACGTTAGCGAATGGGCAGTGATTACGATACAGGCGCACTTCCGAGGCCACCTGGTTTGTTTTGTATATTCTGCTATTCTGTTACGCTAGTTCATGAATATGAATTAAGTATCATTATATTTTCTTTATTCCTTTTCAAATCTTTGAACAAATAGATTTAAATAGTGATTTAGAAAGAAAAATAGAAAAAGTATCCATTCATATTTGAATTACATTTTCTTTTTTTTCTTTTTTTTGGAAAAGGATTAAGTAAAATGCTTCTATAAGTGTACCTTTTTAATCAAGTGGATACTGAGAAGTTGGTTTGATGACTCTCTTTTGTGGGTAATTTGAAGGCAAGGAGAGCATTGCGAGCATTAAAAGGACTGGTGAAGCTACAGGCACTGGTTAGAGGTCACATTGTGAGGAAGCGAACTGTGGAATTGGCACAGATCCTGCAGGCGATGTATCGAGCCCAAGCACGTGCTTGTGCTAGGCGGGCTCAAATTTCTGAATCCCCACATTCAAGCAATAAGTCCTCTCAATTCCAAGCAAGTTTCAGTCTTCCCTCCAATTATTTAAATATGATTCGTCTTATATTAAAAAAGAAGTTTGTCCCATCTAAAAAAATGATTTTTTTCTTTACAAGAACATTTCAAGACAGACTGAAAAAAATTGAAAAGAAGAAAAATGGCCAGAGAAAGTGTTATAAATTGTGGCTGGTAACCATGCCCACATAATGGCTCTGGCCAAACACTTTCTCTGGCCATTGGTTACATGACCAGAGTCCCAATATCTGATATTTAAGTTAAGGTATTCACTATTGTCCAGTGGGGCACTGCTGTAGTGGTGAGCCATTGTTTGATTGCCTTTCTGTTTTCTTTGCCATCTGATTTTAATCAAGTGAATACTGAGAAGTTGGTTTGATGACTCTCTTTTGTGGGTAATTTGAAGGCAAGGAGAGAATTGCGAGCATTAAAAGGACTGGTGAAGCTACAGGCACTGGTTATAGGTCACATTGTGAGGAAGCGAACTGTGGATGTGGTACAGCGCCTGCAGGATTGGTTACGAGCCCAGGCACGTGCTTGTGCTGGGCGGACCCAAATTTCTGAATCCCCACATTCAAGCAATAAGTCCTCTCAATTCCAAGCAAGTTTAATCTTCCCTCCAATTATTTAAATTTGTCCTTTTGATATGCAGCATTCTGTTTACGGTGTGCTTTTCTTTTAATAAGTAATGAATTATCAAAAATGCTTTTTCAGTAAGTAACAAATCAATTGCTAGCTGCATTGAATGCACAAAATTTCGGTCTTACATTTGATAGTCTAATTTAGAAATTGGTTCATATTACTCAGTTTCTCAAATTCTTTTCCAATTTTAGCAATACAATGAGTTGCATCACTCGAATCATTTTGGTTGACAGAATATATCTTGTATATGCTTGCAGGGCCCTGCAACTCCTGTGAAATTTGAACGTGCCATATCATCAAAGATTGCAAAACATGACCAGTCACCAATGCTTCTCAAGGTACTTGCTAGACTCTTTGATTTTGTAGTATGATCTATTATTACAACAATCCACACCTCAATGTATTATTAACCTACAAAAGCAGAGAAGCAGCTCAAAATCAACTGCCCGGGTGATCATTCATCAAGACAAGGCACATAACGATTGGATGGAGTTGGACCACAAAATGGATGAAGGATCATGGGACCGAAAGCGGCCTCATGGTTTGGCTTTGGATCAATGTAATCATAGCTTTAGCACTTCCAAAGATTCAACAGCCCATCCAACAGTTCCGAGCCCATCTTCTTGTGAAGTTCACTCTTTATGCCCTTTAAAGTCTATGCAAGGCAACACCGAGGAAAGCCCTTTCTGCACAGCCAACAATGGCCCACAATTCTACTCGGCATCATCAAGGAGTGGTAGCCCTAAGAGAGGTCCATTCACTCCTTCTAAGAGTGACGGATCAAGAAGCAGCCTAAGTTGTCACTACCCCAATTGCATGGCTTGCACTGAATCTTCAAGGGCTAAGGTGATGTCCCTCAGTGCTCCAAAACAAAGGCCTCAATTTGAGAGCTCTGTTTCATCCAAAAGGTACTCAGTTCATGGGTATGGTGAGTCCAGATCAAGCAGCCTAAGGGTTTCCGCCAACTTTGCAAACAAAGCTTATCTGGGGTCTGGTCGTTTGGAGAGGCTTGGAATGCCTGTGAGAGGCGAAGTTCACTCTTTATGCCCTTTAAAGTCTATGCAAGGCAACACTGAGGAAAGCCCTTTCTGCACAGCCAACAATGGCCCACAATTCTACTCGGCTTCATCAAGGAGTGGTAGCCCTAAGAGAGGTCCATTCACTCCTTCTAAGAGTGACGGATCAAGAAGCAACCTAAGTTGTCACTACCCCAATTGCATGGCCTGCACTGAATCTTCAAGGGCTAAGGTGAGGTCCCTCAGTGCTCCAAACAAAGGCCCCAATTTGAGAGCTCTGTTTCATCCAAAAGGTACTCAGTTCATGGGTATGGTGAGTCCAGATCAAAGCTTATCTGTGGTCTGGTCGTTTGGAGAGGCTTGGAATGCCTGTGACAGGCGATGCAATCTGGCTCAATGCTGGCCACTGGAACAGATTCTAGAATAGTCTTTTTTTCTTTTTCTTTTTTCCTTCCTATTTTTAGAATTGGTGTCCAAGCTAGTTTACGTTTACCTCAACTAAAATGCCTTTTGAGGGTTTTGAGTCCTCTTGTTTATCAAATTAATCTTCCTAACTAATGTACTTAGCTACAGTTTTTTGTCCGTTTTGCTAGGTGAATCTATGTTTATGCTTTAGGGTTAATTTGAATCTAACTAATTGTTATGAGTTCTGTATGCACTTCATAGACTTAATTTTTAATGAGTAGTAGTGCAGGTTCTGCACTCAAGAGCTGGTAGTTGTTTGACAGTTACTAGGTTTTGATGAAAAGGTAGTTATTTTTTGAAAGTGAGTTCACCTTTGATATGTAGATTTATTATTAAGAATCTGGATCCTTTTTAGGCTGTGATTGGTTTATGGATTTGGATAGGGATTTAAAAATGAAAAAGAAAGGGAAAGGAAAAAATAGGTGAAGTGTCAATGAAATATAGTTACATTTCACACATCTTCCACACACTTTTTTCTTTTTCCTTTCCAAATCTCTATTCAAATCCATGAACCAAATACAACATTAGTAGTCCACCTATAGAGCATCATGTACTGTCCCAAAACAAAAACTTACACACAAAAAAATAGAGCTCCCTTTTCATCTTTCCCTTTTCAAAACTTGTCCTGATCTAACTCCAATAATGCTCGAAATTGCCCATACTCGTGCAAACTCGACTGGCCAACCTAAGGTATTTAGTTCAAGTGCTATTCAAATTCAATAAATTTAGCTTATGTTAAGCACGTGTTAATTACAAAAGATTGAGTTGTGCAATTGAACTTAATTTTTTTAAACTTTTTTTTTTTGTGTGTGCTAGAAAACTAGAATCTATTTTTTGAGTTGATTATAATTTGTTTATAAACCAAAAAAACTCATTCGGAATTTCACAATCTAAAAAAGAAGGTTATAAACAACAATAACAAAAAATAAATTATTCATAAAAACATGTTGCTTAACTATTTAATAAGAATCAAACAACACGTTTCAAATATCGCACAAAATAGATTCAATTGTTAAAGTAAATTATATTTATAGTATTGCTCTAAATATATTATATTCAATTTCAATTTCCTTCAAACTCGTGTCACATTGGTTAAACATTTGCTCTTGAAGACAAGAAATGGGAAGGGGGCCATGCAAACAAAAAAAATTTCAGTGCTCTATTCTAAACCATTGTAAGTAACAGGATAGTCTCAAACACAGGGGGGCCACAGCCCCCTATAGTCTACACTATGGTCCATCCCTGCACATTGGCCCCCACAATCATCGGGACCAACCATGAAGTCCACATGGACTCGGTGGTGGGTGCGTATGTGTTGCCTCTGCTCTTTGTGCCTCCTCTTCTCTCCAGTTCTTCGTTTGCCATTGTAATTTGAATTGAAATCTCAGGCACAATCTATACATACAAATTGTACTTATGAATTGATATATAAAAAATAAAAAATGAAGAAAGTTGAGAAGTGACTTGGAAGGGGTGTGCATTGACTTGGAAGTGGTGTGCAGTGAACCGTGTGGACCTCGAAGTCTATATTTGGACGTTGTGGTTGTGATAGTCTGTTCTCAGCTTTAGGAAGGTTGAAATCTTCATACATACTTTTGGGTTGTCAGTTCTTTGTTTGGGTCACTTTTTGGGAGATCATTTGCTATTCTCAACCTCACCATTCTATCTTGAGCTGTTATGTACTTAGAAAAAAAAAAACAATTTTTTTTTATTTTTTTTGTTGGACACAATTATTAAATCCTTAATTGTAACACAAAATATCATTTTTAAGAATGAATAATTTGGTAGTATTATTTTTAAGGTGTCATTTATGAGTCTGTTAGTAAAAGTTATAAGATTGGTCAGTGAATGATTTTTTTTCCTTATTGCAGTGAAGGTAGTTCCTTGTTTTCTTTGCCATCTGATTTTAATCAAGTGGATATCGAGAAGTTGGTTTGATGACTCTCTTGTGTGGGTAATTTGAAGGCAAGGAGAGCATTGCGAGCATTAAAAGTACTAGTGAAGCTACAGGCACTGGTTAGAGGTCACATTGTTGTGAGGAAGCGAACAGTTGATACGGTATGGCACATGCAGGCGTTGCGAGCCCAAGCATGTGCTTGTTCCGGGTGGGCTCAAATTTCTGAATCCCTACATTCAAGCAATAAGTCCTCTCAATTCCAAGCAAGTTTCAATCTTCGCTCCAATTATTTAAATTTGTCCTTTTGATATGCAGTATTTTGTTTGTTTATGGTGTGCTTTTCTTTTAATAAGTAACAAAACGTGCTTTTTTAATAAGTAACAAATCAATTGCTAGTTGCATTGAATGCACAAAATTTCATTGTTACATTTGATAGTCTAATGTAGAACTTGGTTCATATTACTCAGTTTCTCAAATTCTTTTCCAATTTCAGCAATACAATGAGTTGCATCACTTGAATCATTTTGGTGACAATATATCTTTTATATGCTTGCAGGGCCCTGCAACTCCTAAGAAATTTGAACATGCCATATCATCTAAGATTACAAAACATGACCAGTCACCAATGCTTCTCAAGGTACTTGCTAGACTCTTTGCTTTTGTAGTATGCTACCTATTATTACTACAATCCACACCTCAATGCATTCTTAACCTACAGATGCAGAGAAGCAGCTCAAAATCAATTGCCCGGGTGATCATTCATCAAGACAAGGCATATAGTGGTTGGATTGGGTTGGACCGCGAAATGGATGAAGGATCATGGGACCGAAAGTGGCCTCATGGTTTGGCTTCAGATCAATGTAGTCATAGCTTTAGCACTTCAAAAGACTCAACAGCCCATCAAACAGTTCCGAGCCCCTCTTCTTGAGAAGTTTACTCTCAAAAAAAAAAAAAAAAAACAATGCCCAATTAGTACACATTAATGTGTACAAAGTGGTAGCCCCAAGACTTGAAACCATAACCTCAAGGTTATAATGCGAAGTTCACTCTTTATGCCCTTTAAAGTTTACGCAAGGCAACACTGAATTGTTTTAATTGTCACTGTGGAAAATGTATCACAGGGCGCGACTTCAATAGAAAGAAACTGGGAAATATTTTCATTTTTCTACTACATTTGTGTAGAAATGGTAATATATCTACTGGAATTCAATGCTTTCTATATTCATAGGGTTCACTCTTATGCTCCTCCCAGACCAAGCACAATTTATTGTTCTCTTTTACTGTGAATATGTAAATAAATAAAATTGTAGCTGTTGAATTGTAGATATTCTTAATTTTAAATCTACCCCTACTTTTGCAGATTGGAAAAATTGGGAGCTTTAGAGTGGAGCAAGGTAGTGTATGGACATGAAGGATGGAGACTTATCACTTGTATCTGGTTGCATGCTGGTGTTATTCATCTGCTAGCGAACATGTTGAGCTTGGTGTTTATTGGGATCCGACTTGAACAGCAATTTGGGTTTGGTATGTTAGTTTCTTTCATGCTGCTGAAGCCTAAATTTGTCCCTAATTCAAATTAGTATGTGAAAAAGAAGTTTTATTATACTTTTCCACTTTAACTTGTTGAAGAGATGAGATGATGTGGGTGTTGTTTAGGATGTCATATGGGAATGAAATCTTTGCTGAGCTTTGAAACGAATCCCTTTGAGTATTATGTGACAATTGCAGTGTTAAGCATTATGCATGAGACTTTGGATATGAACAAGTGAAACCATTGATAATTAATTTCCTTTCGCTTTTCACTCACTCTTTTAGCAAGCATTCCTTTCAATGGCTTCTCTTAGTTGGATGCATTTCTGCCTTAAAATCTAATCAAAACAGGGTTAATTTACCACATGGATATCTTGGGCACCCCGTTGTACCATAATTGGACCCATTTTGGGGTTCTTTTTCCTTCATTGTTATTGTCTTAACAATTTTGTAATGTTTCTCTTGCATCCATATAATCTTCTTCTTCTTCTTCTTCCTCCTTAATTTATTGTTTTTGGTATGTGCCAGTGCGAGTTGGGGCAATCTACCTATTGTCAGGATTCGGTGGGAGCATACTCTCTGCTCTTTTCATTCAACGCAGTATTTCTGTTGGTGCTTCCGGTGCTCTATTTGGACTTCTTGGAGCGACGCTATCTGAGCTACTTACTAATTGGACTATTTATACCAATAAGGTAGATTCAGTAGATGCTTGATTTTTCTTGAAGTATTAGTTCTTTTTCCCTCTCTCTTCCAAGAAGAATAAGTGATGGGTGATCTTGGGTTCATGATAATTGTAACTAGGCTTAGATCTCTGTATTAGATGACCAGTGAGAAGCAAAGCATGAAGCTTGAGATCACTTAACTTGCTGGTCCTCTTTACAGTGGCTGGAGCGTAGATTAATAGTTCTACCTGTTTAAATGGTTTATAAAATACTTTGTTCAGGCTTTGAAGATGAGGAAATTTGACTGTCTTGTCACATTTTGTAATTCATCTTCTTTAATTTTGTAGGCTGCTGCTCTATTTACCCTTTTGATCATCATTGTCATCAACTTAGCAGTTGGAATTCTTCCGCATGTTGACAACTTTGCACACCTTGGAGGATTCTTGACAGGTTTCCTCCTTGGTTTCCTATTGCTACTCCGGCCCCAGTTTGGTTGGCCGGAGCGCCAACATCTTCAAGCTGATGCTCGTGTCAAATCCAAGCACACGATTTACCAATATGTATTCTTGGTGGTTGCTCTGGTTTTGCTGATTGCTGGGTAAGCATTATCACCTCAAACCCTAATTTTATTATCTCATGGAGTGAAATTATTGCAGTTAAAGGCACATCATCTATCTTGTTTCCAAACTTTCATTGCTTGGAAAGTGTGGTTCCATACAAAATGATTGCAGTAGTTGAAAAAATTGGGCTTTCATGAAGCATATAGAGTATGGTCAATTCATATTAAAAATAAAAAGTTACACTTTTCCTTCCCTAAAAGGACGACCCATTGCATGAGGCCCCTGCTAAAGTGAGGTTTGGGAAGGGCAAGATGTTCATAATGGTTGTAGCTTCACCCTCCATTTCTAAATAGGCTATTTCCATGACTCGAACCCACACCAGCGAAGACATTAACGACAAGCCTTAATTTTGGCCAGATACCTTTTCACACTTTTCCATCCCTACTTGAAACCAAAAAAGAAAAGAAGAAAAGAAGGACGATTTTATTTCCACAATTTTATCCATAAAACATATTTGCCATTTTTCTTATTTACTGCCCTTCATGTTCTGGATGGTGGTTTTAGATTCTTGCGTTGTTGAGCTTTGTAGTACTGATTAAAACCTTATTTTGCTCGTGGAAAACCCTAATTTCCATCCTTTTTGTTTCCTTCCTGGTGATGAATGCTGCAGATTTACGGTGGGACTGGTAATGCTTTTCAGAGGGGAGAATGGAAACAATCGTTGCAGCTGGTGCCATTACCTCAGCTGTGTGCCTACCTCAAGATGGAACTGCAATAATTGATTAGGAAATTCTCAACAGTTTTTGCCTTTATTCTTTGCCATCTGATTCCTTTTTCCTTTTTCTTTTATTTGTTATTTGTTTATCTCATTTGTATGCTTCTGCTTGTGTACATTCATACTCTGACCCATCTCTTCTTCTGTGTGAACATCTGGCAAATCTTGTTTCTATAAATTTACATAGATTCCCATTATGTAGACTAATTACTGTTTTCACAGAAAGTGATTTTTATTTTTTAAAAATTCTATTGCCGTTGTCACATGCTCTGAGAATGAAAATTTCGCAATTGATTTGTGTCTATACATAACTAAGATCAGTAATTTCAGTCTCAAACTCAAGTGTCTAGGCTGCAACTTATTGACTAAATGCTTGAAACCATGTGTTATTATAGTAAATACCTTCTCAATTTTAGGCGAGTTTGTGGGATGTAACATTTATCTGAGAAGCAAGACATGGGTTGTTGTGAATGATCAATGTTGGAAGTATTCTTATAGTTGTAATATGGTTGAATTTTGATCCACATGTATTGATAGACTACATATAAAATAGTCTCTGCCTATTGTTGTTCTGAAACACTGAAAAAGCATTGATATTAGGCCAAAAGTCATCTCATTTTCTTGGTATTAGTCATTGTTTTGGTTGAGAAAATTTGGGAGAAGATTAGATTTTGGTTAAATTACTTTTTTTTTTTTTTTGTTCCCTGTGGAATTTCATTTTTTTAAATTTTTTATGGAACACTATGTTATGTAAAAATTATGACATGAGTTTGGAATATCACACCGTCATGTTTGTCTAATGATATTTTATGTCCTCCATTTCTTTGATTTTAAGGTCATTTAATTATTTGACTCTTTATTATTAGTTGGGTATATGGTTGATATAAAATTTTCAAAAACAAGATAATTACTCAGACAAGTGAGTTGTGATTAGTCCTATATTCATTTTCGACCATTTATTTCAAAATGTGACACTCCACCCCTATTAAATATGGATCAATGTAAAACTGTGAACTGTTCTATTGAAGATAGTGTCAACATACCATAATTTAATTTAAAATTTTCAAATTAATTATTCTTTCTAACCAAGTTACAAGATGAAAAAAAAATTTAAATGCAACGATAATATCACGTTATCACTGACGGATAGTGGTGGTATCACTGTCCAATAACATGTGATTATATATGCAATAATATATATATGTGACAACTACTAGGTTATGATGAAAAAGGTAGTTATTTTTTAAAAGGGTGATTCACCTTTCATATATAGGTTTATTATTAAAAATTTGGATCTTTTGTAGTTGTCCCTTATAGTGTCCTAAAACGACATCATTTCGGGGCTTCTTTCCATTTTAAAGCAGAGCTCCCCTTTCGTCTTCCCCTTCTCCTTGGGCGACCACCTTAGCAGTTTTGACCACCTCTATCCGCCACTCTCCGGCAACCCTCATCCCTCTCTAGCGTCGGTCACCACCCCCTAACCCTTTTCTAGCTCTTCTCTTCACCTACTAACACCACCACTGCAACGCAAACCCTTGTCGTCCCTCTCTAGCCCAACCTCGCCATCGCAGTGCCTCCTCTCACCGTTATCCCTGCTCGTTGTCTACCGTCATGAACCTACCCACTCCCTCTTTTCTCTTCATTTTCTTTCCTCTTCTTGCTCCTCATCCTTGCCTCAGAAAACGAGGAGGAAAAGGAGAAAAAAGAAGTAGGGGTCGCGAGGCAAGGAGGGGTTGGCGGTGGTGTGAGAGGAGAGGGCAGGGTTAGAGGTGGGAGAAGGTGATCGCCAGAGGGAAAGGGGAAGGGAAAGACGAAAGGAGAACTCTATTTTTTTGTGTGTAAGTTTTGCAATCGTTTTGAGACACTACAAGGTGCATTAAAGAGGATCCAGATTCTTAATAATAAACCTATATATGGAAGGTGAATTTCACGTTAAAAAGAGAAAACTACCTTTTTCATCATAACCTAGTTACTGTCGAATAACTACCAGCTCTTGAGTGAATAACCTCCACTGCTACTCATTAAAAATTAATTACAGAACTCTTTAACAATCAGTTAGATTCAAATTAACCCTGGAGTACAAATATAGATTCACCTTGCAAAACAGACAAAAAAACTGTAGCTAAATACATTAGTTAGGAAGATTAGTTCGATAAACAAACGGACTCAAATCCCTCAAAAGACATTCTTGTCGAGGTGCGTGTAAACTAGGCCAGACACTGATTATAAAAATAGAAAGAAAAAAAAAGAAAAGAAAAGAAAAGAAAAAAAAAGACGTTCTAGTATCTGTTCCAGTGGCCAGCATTGAGCCAGGTTGCATCGCCTCTCACAAGCCTTCCAAGCCTCTCCAAACGACCAGACCCCAGATAAGCTTTGTTCGCAAAGTTGGCAGAAACCGAGTACCTTTTAGATGAAACCGAGCTCTCAAATTGGGGCCTTTGTTTTGGAGCACTGAGGGACCTCACCTTAGCCCTTGAAGATTCAGTGCAAGCCATGCAATTCAGGTGGCTTGAGCAACCACTTAGGTTTGCTTCTTGATCCGTTGCTCGTAGAGGGAGTGAATGGACCTCTCTTAGAACTACCACTCCTTGATGAAGCTGAGTAAAACTATCCTAGATACCCATAACATTCTTTTAATGATATGAATTTGTTAAATCCTTTTACCAATTTAGAATCACCTAAGTAAGTGTTTAATTGAAATAACATATTCCATGAAACCACATGCATTCTTCACCAAAACTTTACTTCCAACTTCACTTTACTTGGGGCTATTTGAGAACCAATGTGTTTACAACAGTAAGCAACGAGATATCTAAAGGTTATCCAGAACCATTCTCATCTAAAGTAGCACCTTGTATGCTTAATTCATGATGTCTTGGATAGTTCTAACAATTTTCAGCCTCCTCAGGTTCATCAAGGATAGCGTTTCTAAGTAACAGCGTTACATTTCACTAAAAACTAAGAGATTAATAATGCATATATGACAGTCCTAAAAATGATAACAATCAAGGTAACAACACAAAATAAATGCCCTCACAAAATATCCAACCTATGAGAAAGGTGAAATTGGAAGGAAATCCCAGCATTCCACAAAGGGGAAAAAAAATTACCAGAGCCCTCAAGCACAAGATGTTTAGAGGATTTCAACGAATGGATTTTGATCAATACAAGAAGACATGGCCAGATACAAATAAATAAAAATAATAGCAAAAACTTCTCCAATCAAATCCCCAATAACTTTCTAAAAGTATGCCATAATTAATCTCAAAAAACATGAAGTTTCACCCACCAACCTATAGTCATTAGGAAGATCTCCAGACAATGAATCAAAGACAAATCCAATTCAAAAACAAAAGACTTGCGCATAAACAATTCACGTCAAACACTTACAATCCATGAAATTTTCATTAACCCAATTGCCTAAACTCTTGCCGAGAACTCCCAATCATTGAATCAAGCCCCAAACAAGATCAAACAACGAGAAGAAAAACCCAAAATTGAGAAATTAGTATGCTAGAAAAACACAGAAATACAGAAACAAGGCACAATTCACATGCGTTGAACATCATCGATAAATCAAAGATAACCAAAACAATTAACATGAGTTAAGAGATGAGCTATCCCCACAAAGCTCTTGCTTACCCAAGATTTAGATGGTAATATTCAAACTAATAATCAAATAAATCAAACGCAACACCAAAATCAAAGCAAAAAACAATTGAACATCGATGAATCAAAGCTAAGCAAACCAATTAACATAAGTTGAGAGATGAGCTCAGCAAGAAATCTCCCCACAAACCTCTTGCTTACCCAAGATTTAGATGGTAACATTCAAACTAACAATCAAATAAATCAAAACCCAACACCAAAATAAAAGCAAAAAACACTCAAATTGAAGCGAATTATGAAATGTGTACAAGAAATATGGGAATTACGTAGAAGAAGAGGGCCCAAAGAGAGGGTTTTCCCGGAGAGGCTCGAAGGAAAGTCTACCGAGAAACTTGGCCACACAAGTCCCAGAAGCAAAACCCAGACTGTTGTTCTTGGGACAATTGTTGAAGTACATGATCACGATGAACATGCCCACATTGGCCACCACAATCATCGGGACCAACCATGAAGTCCACATGGCCTCGGTGGACTCTATGAAGTAAGAAGGAGAGTAATAGGTAGGTGGGTATGTGTTGCCTCTGCTCTTCGTGCCTCCCCTTCCCTCCAGATCTTCGTTCGCCATTGTTATTTGAATTGAAATCTCAAACACAATCTATATATATATATATACAAATTGTATGTATGATTTGATGTGATAAAAAAATGAAGAAAGTTGAGAATTGGCTTGGAAGGGAGTGAAATCTTCGATTGAAATTTGAATGCAAGAGAGATAGAGAGAGAGAGAGAGAGCTATGGTTATGGCGATATTCGAGTTTGGTTGTCTATATGTTATGGGTTAGGTGGCTCTGCCAGAATGAGACCCCATTACCGATTCCTATTTATTAACAGTGCAAGAAAAAAAAAATACAGCTATTGCTTTGCATTTTTCTTTTTATGGAAAATTAAAATATATATTGGGGTTCTTTTTTTTAAAATTTCGGTTACAGAATTAATTTTTAAAATTTTTTAAAAAAAATAAAAAAATAATTTGAGAAAAATAAATATTTCCTCTGAAAAAGAGAAAATTATATGAAAATGTGTTACTTTTCCCACCAAAACTAGATTTTAGAATTTTTTGAAGAAACTTTATGTTTTTTTTTAATTTATTAAAACTATTTTGATCTTGACCACAAATACATCTTTTATCAACGAGTCTACACAATGGAAAAATTATTTCATTATTTAGAGACACATGGAATTAACTTTTTTTACCACTCATAACAGATCACGAGTTTGTACTCCAAGATCATTATACAACGAGGACTAATTATTTCATACCTTTTACAACATAGCTAGGTAATTCCTTAAAGTTTATGTAATTGGTAAAAATAGAAAGGCCATAATTTTGTGTGAAATGACAAAAAAAACAATTAAGAAACATGATTCCAAGGCACCAAGTAATTTTTCCACAATGGGAGGTAACCATTAGTAACATTTTCCCAGATCATAAGACCTCCCAATTCGAGTTAAAACAAGATTCCATGCGGATGTTGAATATAACATCAAAACATTTTAGCAATGACCATTTTTTATCTTTCTTCTTCTTTTTTCTTTTTAGTCAATTAATGAGTAGGATTTGAGTAAAAAAAAAAAAATCAAAAATAAGGCCCATTT